TGAGACAATCATCAAGGCAGATACCAAGGTATTTGTAACAGGTAACCACTTTTTATTCCTTGCGTAGTTACAATATCTAAAACAGGCTCTGGTGTCTTTTTAGCTTTTGAAAAGAGCATTACCTTGGTTTTATCAACATTTAAAAGAAGCTTAAGCGCTGAGAGCTGAGTCTGAATAATGAGAAGCTTAATTTGTTTTTTTCTATCAATGTGTAACAGTTATCAAAATACTCTTTAAAAGAAGGACAAGGAAAGAATAAAAGAAAAGGCCTATAAACAACACATTATGTAATGACTCAAGAACATTTTCATGTAATTATGTAATAAAACCCACATTTTGTAATAATCTGCTGCATTCTGTAACAGCCTGAACGCAATATAAAATACATTTCCCTGCATTTTGTAATAAATTATTACATTTTGCAATGGTTATTACAAAATGCGTGAGTTGCCCTTTTAAAAAACTGTAATATTCATTATGTAACCATAACCAAACTGTAAATATATCCCAAAATTGATGTTGATATACATGTTGGCTAATGAATATGGTAACACTTGATCTAGTTTTGGCCAATGAAAGATATTCTACTGAAATATTTTTAAATTATGAGTAAGGATGATTCATGGTTGAATAAATAAATAAACAATTGTAATGTTATTGTTTGCAACTCATTTTGTAATAACCACAGCAATATGTAATAATATATTTCAAAATGTGGCGACATGTATTACATATTTGCATTGAACTTGTTTACTACATAATGGGCAAATTATTACAAAAGGAGGTGTTATTACATAATGAAGGGAAAATGTATTACATTTTGTATAGGTATAGTTAATAAATGATGCATTGTTATTTCATACAGGGCCAAAAAGAGCAGTCTGTTATCCTATTTAACAATCTTGTTTTTTGTTTCACCTGGTGACAACTTTAAACATGAGCTGATCACTCATTAAAACAAGGTCCGGAACAGGGCCAAAAAAACAGTCTTGTACCCTATTTAATCGTCAATCTTGTTTTTTTCGTGCCTTAACTCACAAATTCTTGTGTTAATGGATGTTCTTATATCTGATGTCTTGGTCCCTGGATGGTGGTTTACTACAGCATCTGTGGAACAGAACAATTACAAATAATTAGAAGTTCACAAAAGACAGCAGGAATTATAACAATATCCATAATATCTATATTAAAGCATGGGCTGGCTTGGTGAATAATGTGGGAATACAAATAGTGGAAGAATAGGCTTTGTACATTTTTGTCTGAGTGTGGCGCTACTGGTTGGTATATTTTATGGAATTTGGACCAAGCATCTGCATCTGTAACAGTTCTGTTTAAAACTTTTTTAAATGTAATTGCATTCATCTTTAAAGGTGGGGTAGGTAAGTTTGAGAAACCGGCTTGAGATACACTTTTTGTTATATTCCATGGAATGCTCTTAACATCCCGATAGCAATGAATATCTTAAGTCCTTTGACAAAAAATCCATAAAAAATGTCATCTGTGGAAGCCGTGATACTGTAAAAAGCACGACCAATAATTTTAGCCGGCCCGGCTGAAATGACTGGATGGCCTACCTGCCTGTCAGCCTTCCATCTGTGCACAAACTTATCTCGTGTCCTCATTGGTCATGTGCGCGTTTGTGTGTGTTGGAGGAGGGGCTCTGTAAGGAAGTGGCAGATTTTTTCCGGCTGTGTATTTTCAAATTCTGGCGCACTCAAGCTGGTTTCTCCAAAATTACCTACCCCACATTTAAGGCTGAAAACCCATTCAAACACATTCTCTTCAAAACACATATGTTAACAGCAAAGCTAAATGAAAGTGGATTAAAAGGTTTATTCAGCACACATCTATACATAAATACATACGTATATACAACAATACGCATAGTGCAATTAGCAGTACCAGTAATAAAATAACTGAATAAATAGTAGTAGAACCTTTATTTAGCCAGGAAAATCAATTAAGAACAAATTCTTATTACAATGATGACCTGACAGGAGGCAAAAGGCATCCTGAGGGGATGGGGTTTGGGAGGAAAAAAATAAAAAGACAGACTCCGGGCACTACAGAACCCAGGAGACAACACAATGACACAGAGCAGAGATGACAGGCATAGCAGTTAAACATATAAAATCTCTAAAACAATATTGCTGTGGTTCAATCGGTCATTAAAATAATATAGAACATTCATCCATTCAATCATTCATTCCTTCATGGCAAGGATAACTAAGCTGAATAGTGAATAAAGTGATATGTGAAAAGTAAAATTACAGTGAAATTAAATGACCACTGCGATCTGGCTCCTCTGTCCTCGTGTCTTTTGGGTCTGATTCCTCACTACTGATGTCTGCCTCTCTGCATGGGCCCTCTCTCCTTATTTATTCTGTCTCAGTCACCACTGCTATCTGGCTCCTCTGTCCTGTTGACTTGTGGTTCTGCAGGCTTAGATCGACCTATGAATTTCAACAATGCTCCTGTAAAATATATAGATATATAGTATTATGGGTCAACATTAAAATAACATACACTGGAGAGCAAAATGTGAAATTCCATTGACTCTAGGCTACATATTATCCACACAATTGTCAGCAGGGGCAATAACAACTAAAATGTGAACTAACTTGAATGCATTAGTCCACAACACATAGCCTAACTAATGTTAGCCTACATAGTTACTAACATCAGAACACATAGACTAACTGTGGTTACATTACTTAACTAGCTCATCATCTTCACCAGTCAGAAAATGTCCGTTAGCCGTGGGGCTAGTTTTCGCTATGTTAAACTCCATTGACTTATGCTAAAATGTTAGCGATCTAAAGGTCCGCTATTTTTGGCTGTTTTGGGTCGACTTCAGTTGACTGTAACATCGAAAATCTTCGAAATTGAATGTTCACAAAGCTGCGGACCGGTTATACACTTATACACGAGGGAACTAACATAGCTAATTTAACTAACGTTAGCTAATGTAGCTGTTGTAGTGCCGAGAGACGGGACATACGGATTAAGCAACTAGACTACTTGTAGTGTACATGCAGAATTATTTCAATTTAAAATAGTTTTAAATGCTCACACACATACCTGACTCTCGTGCTGTATTTTCCTCTCGTTTCTTTTTAATTTTCTGTTTCGAAGCACCTGATGAATGCTTTCTCTTTGACAGACACTCAGCGACAGAATCAACAGACAGAGGCGGCAACGCAGATTTGAATCTGCCAATCAGATCAATCTATTGCTGGAGAGGGTGGGGGGCTCCCCGAAATCTGTGAGATTGATTGGTGATGATCACTGGCACGTAATGTGTCCAATGAGAACGTTAACACGTTTTAGAGAGTTATGTTTAGCGAAGACGGAGGTCAGCCACTGTCAGCCGGAAGTGGCGCATTCGAATACTGTTTGGGCTGTCTGGCGTGGATGGGCTGCATTCCACTCCAAATAGCCGGTCGGCCGTAATATATGCATATATATATATGCGTGCATATATGCATATATATATGCGTGCATATATGCATAGATATATATATATATGTGTATATATATATGCATATTTATATATATGTGCATATATATATGCATATTTATATATATATGCATATATATATATATGCGTGCATATATGCATATATATATGAGTGCATATATGCATATATATATATATATATATATATGTGAATATATATATGCATATTTATATATATGCATATATATATATATATGCGTGCATATATGCATATATATATGCGTGCATATATGTGTGTGTGTATATATTTATAAACTGTATATTATTTTCCATCATTCAATGGACAATTTGTACTTTTTTAATATATAGGCTACCATCAAACATATGTTCATATATAAAGTGGGTAACTATACAAAGAGATAACTGTTTATGAATATCTGTTCAATTTTATGTAAACTTGTGTAACTCATGAAAGATAAACGAGTGTTTCAATAAAACTATTACATATAAATGTATAGTGCAGTTTTTGTTTTCATTGCAATATTTCTTTTTATATGTATCAATATATAGCCATACATGGTCCATGCATATATTGCAATATATTTAAAAATATAAGGACTACTTTCCCATATATGGAAATGTATGATCCAGTAATTTGTATTATATTTACCAATATATTACAATATATTTTTGTTTCATAAGGGATAGTGTCTCTACTTTAAAGAGTCCTCTCCTGCTGATGTTCAGGTGTATATCAGTATGTAGTGTCTCTACTTTAAAGAGTCCTCTCCTGCTGATGTTCAGGTATATATCAGTATGTAGTGTCTCTACTTTAAAGAGTCCTCTCCTGCTGATGTTCAGGTGTATATCAGTGTGTAGTGTCTCTACTTTAAAGAGTCCTCTCCTGCTGATGTTCAGGTATATATCAGTATGTAGTGTCTCCACTTTAAAGAGTCCTCTCCTGCTGATGTTCAGGTGTATATCAGTATGTAGTGTCTCTACTTTAAAGAGTCCTCTCCTGCTGATGTTCAGGTATATATCAGTATGTAGTGTCTCTACTTTAAAGAGTCCTCTCCTGCTGATGTTCAAAAAGAGTCCTCTCCTGCTGCTTCTTTATTTCTCTTCTGAGAACTGAAGGAGAAGTGTTTCTGTGAGAATGTGGTTAGCAGCAGCAGCAGAGATCTGGAGGTTTTACCCTCTGATGCCGACCAGATAAGATAAGAGCAAAAAGCAGAACTGTGCAGAGTGGAGTACATGTAGTAATATAGAATATATATATTTGATATATAACAGCAGGGGGTGGATATCAATATACCTTAATATATGAATGAATATGCAGCGATAACAAAAGGCAGTGTTGTTGATCAGTGGAGTCACTAGTGAAACTGTGTACTTTAAGAACACACCTGATGTTTAGAGAAAGTCATATTAGGAAAAACCACACAAATAAATACATCTGCACTCTTGAAAGGCTAATAGATCACTTTATTGCGTAAAATACAGAACAATCAAATGTACTGAAGAAAAAGCAATACTCCATTGAATTATATTAAAGAAAAAACAGTAATAAAAACTTTACAAAACCTTCATTATGCCCACACTGTAAGTATTCAGAATACAGTGACTCTCCAACATGTCTGCCCCTTTTTCACGACCCACCTCTCTGAAGGAAGGGGCAGATTCTTTCGGCTGCAGACTTTCACATTCTAGCGCACTGGAGCTGCTTTCTCCAACATTACATACCCCACCTTTAAGGCTGAAAACCCATTCAAACACATTCTCTTTAAAACACATATGTTAACAGCAAAGCTAAATGAAAGTGGATTAAAAGGTTTATTCAGCACACATCTATATATTAAAATGAGCTAAAGCTTTTGTACCTTCAAAAACAAGCAGTACATCTTAAAATCAGCTCTGAAAAGTTCAGCTGGAAGACAATATGAGGAAGTTAACAAGAGTTAAAAGGCATTTACTCAGCTGCTGAATAACTGAAGACTAAAAAGGAAATAATGCGTGATTGTATAAACTTCATTTCCTGATGTGAAACACGATGATCAGTGGAGTCTGATGGAGGCAGAAGTGTTGCTCAAACTCCATCAGGAGGTCCGATGTTTTCATAGTTCACTGTACCATCATCTACATCATAACGCACCTGAGGAAAACAACAACACTGAGTTGGTTACAAAGGATTTCAAAGTAAAACACAGTTCACAGTTTAATCAGCAGACCCTGAACGCACCATCAGTTCCCGTCTGATCTGATTTCATCTGACTGACTTCTGTACAGTTTGCTTTGAAACTAGATTTCATTTTGCACATTATTCAAAGTAACATGGACGTTATTTAGAAACTATCAGCATTGCTTAGGCAAGGAAAGGAAAGTTCATCTATACAGCACATTTCAACATAAGGCTTTTTTTTGTGCTGTTTTTTGTTATTTTGCTAAATGAATAGTTTTGCTTTTCTGAGATCATTTAATTTGGATACATACATATTCTAAATTAATCTTGTGTTGCATCTTCTTCTGCCTGTCATATATCCACTGTTACCATTGGATAGCAAATAATACACACATTTAATTATTCAATGTTCAAACTCACCATGTTTTCTTCCGTCTGTGCTTTGCTCCCTGAAAAAAGGACACAACAAGTTGATATTAGATTTCACCTTTATTTGTATTGTTTTCATTTGACCTGTGAATGATCTCACCTTTAGCTCTTGTCCATATGTTGACTGTAACCACGGTGATGATGAGAGCCGCTAAACCCACAGACACCATGATGAGCCTCAAGCGACCTGGAGAGAGAAGTTAGAAGAGTTAAATACAGTCTCTAAAATGTGAATGAACAAAATGTCTCTTGGCTGTTTGATGCTTCCTCGTCACCTTCACACAGGGACACGTACAGAACATACAGATACAAACACAACTTATTTATAATCCACACAGTTCTTCTTTTCTACATAAGATGTTACCTTTATAAACTATGTTGGATCTGAGTCCACTCCTGATCCTCTTCCAGTACATCCAGGTGTGTATATACTGCATGTGTGCATGTCTTCTCTAACTGTGAATGTATATGTTCTGTTCTCTCTCTACCTTTGTCGTTGTCCTCTGGTTCTGTGTGATTGTCTTCAGATGTGTTGGTCATCTCTCGGGCTGCTCTCATTCTCACTGTTGTCCATGTTGTTGACACTGCAGTCACCTTCCCTGCATCCTCACCTTAAGGAATGAAATAACAACAAGCTGTACAGTTATACAAACAAATGTAATCATCTCACATCACGACATAAAGATGTGACGCATCAGGATGAATGATTTTAAACAGCTCATCATGTTCTCACCTGAGGACTGAAGAGAAACAGCTGAGGTTCTGTGACCATCAAACACTTTACAAGTCTATCAAGTTAACCTTACCTGAGTTTAAGTTGTTTTTAGCTGCTGTGGTTGTTGTTGTTGTTGTTGTTTTTGTTGTTGTTGTTGTTGCTGGTTTTGTGTCCTCACCTAAACAAATAAACACAACTCAACAAACTATTTAGTCTGCAACTTCTGTAAAACAAACACATATTTAAGGGGATTATTCATGTCAGATTTAAGTGATTTAAAACAGCTTAACATGTTCTCACCTGAGGACTGAGGGCTGAAGGGAAACTGATGTTCTTCTCTTGTGTAATCATCTGTTACTTTACAAGTAAACAACTCAAACCTTGGTGTGTAACTAAAGAGAGAAGTCAGAAATGTCACAGAGGCAGAGCAGAGAGACTGTGATGTCTTTATATCTCTGTGATCTGTATCCACATCTCGACCCTGAAGCAGCCACTTTGCTGAGTGTCCACACCCTCCATATGTCGACACAGAGCAGTGTAACGTCACCTCATCATTGTCCTGATGTTCAGTCACTGAAGATGGAGATATTGTGAGAGAAAGACAACAAGATTAACATTAACTTCATCACTGTAATCATAATTATTGTAATGATTTAGTATATTGCTCTATAGAGACAGTTTAAAACATTATGATGTAAATACTCACTGGTAACAACAGACAGATAAACCCAAGAGTCTGAACCTTGTTGTTCTCCTGATCTGAACTGTCTGCAGACGTAACCTCCAACATCCTCCTCTGTGACCTTCTTTATAACCAGAGAACAATTCTCTGTAACTCTCAGTCTGTCTGATTTAGCTTTGGCTTCTTTGTGAATCTGCCCGTCTGCAAACAGCGTCACTGCTGCTGGGCTTCTTAAACCACTGAAGCTCCACGTAGCACTCTCACACTTATCCTGATCATCTATCACATTGTCAAAAGGCAAAGTGACTTCATCTCCAGCTCTGACAGTGAGGGAGTATTGTTTCATATCTGCAGCTGTTTAAAAACACAAAGACGGGAATACATATGAATAAACTAGTATTCACAGTTATGATGATAATTGTATGAAGAAGTTTGAAAATGTTTCTCTGTGAGAGTTTGGTTTCCAAGAGTTCACTAAAGTCACCACGTTACAAACACAACTCATCACTCTCAGTTAAAGGAACAGTACGTAGTAAAGCACCGTCAGTGATATTAAAGCTGTTTTATTTAACGTGTGTTCTCTGCATCCTCACCTGGAAAGTGGAGCAGCAGCATCAGGAATGAAGACATCACGATCCTTCTGGATTCAGACATCGTGCTTCTCTCTCGGTCTCTGGCTCTCCACTGTCAGAGTCTCTAACCTGTTGCTTATTTATTTTCCTTCTGAGAACTGAAGAAGTGTTTCTGTGAGAATGTGGTTAGCAGCAGCAGCAGAGCTATGGAGGTTTTACCCTCTGATGCAAGGTAAGAGCAAAAAGCAGAACCGTGCAGAGTGGTGTACATGTAGTAATATAGATATTTGATATATAACAGCAGGGGGTGGATATCAATATACCTTAATATATAAATGAATATGCAGCGATAACAAAAGGCAGTGTTGTTGATCAGTGGAGTCACTAGTGAAACTGTGTACTTTAAGAACACACCTGATGTTTAGAGAAAGTCATATTAGGAAAAACCACACAAATAAATACATCTGCACTCTTGAAAGGCTAATAGATCACTTTATTTAGTAAAATACAGAACAATCAAATGTACTGAAGAAAAAGCAATACTCCATTGAATTATATTAAAGAAAAAACAGTAATAAGAACTTTACAAAACCTTCATTATGCCCACACTGTAAGTATTCAGAATACAGTAACTCTCCAACATGTCTGCCCCTTTTTCACGATCCACCTCTAGAGGGACTCACATGTTTTGCTGTTCTCTCACTTTGATGCTATTATATGTATATCAGTATGTAGTGTCTCTACTTTAAAGAGTCCTCTCCTGCTGATGTTCAGGTGTATATCAGTATGTAGTGTCTCTACTTTAAAGAGTCCTCTCCTGCTGATGTTCAGGTGTATATCAGTATGTAGTGTCTCTACTTTAAAGAGTCCTCTCCTGCTGATGTTCAGGTGTATATCAGTATGTAGTGTCTCTACTTTAAAGAGTCCTCTCCTGCTGATGTTCAGGTGTATATCAGTATGTTGTGTCTCTACTTTAAAGAGTCCTCTCCTGCTGATGTTCAGGTGTATATCAGTATGTAGTGTCTCTACTTTGAAGAGTCCTCTCCTGCTGATGTTCAGGTGTATATCAGTATGTAGTGTCTCTACTTTAAAGAGTCCTCTCCTGCTGATGTTCAGGTGTATATCAGTATGTAGTGTCTCTACTTTAAAGAGTCCTCTCCTGCTGATGTTCAGGTGTATATCAGTATGTAGTGTCTCTACTTTAAAGAGTCCTCTCCTGCTGATGTTCAGGTGTATAGTACATTTGATTGTTCTGTATCTTACTAAATAAAGTGATCTATTAGCCTTTCAAGAGTGCAGATGTATTTATTTGTGTGGTTTTTCCTAATATGACTTTCTCTAAACATCAGGTGTGTTCTTAAAGTACACAGTTTCACTAGTGACTCCACTGATCAACAACACTGCCTTTTGTTATCGCTGCATATTCATTTATATATTAAGGTATATTGATATCCACCCCCTGCTGTTATTTATCAAATATATATATTCTATATTACTACATGTACACCACTCTGCACCGTTCTGCTTTTTGCTCTTACCTTGCATCAGAGGGTAAAACCTCCATATCTCTGCTGCTGCTGCTAACCACATTCTCACAGAAACACTTCTCCTTCAGTTCTCAGAAGAGAAATAAAGAAGCAGCAGGAGAGGACTCTTTAAAGTAGAGACACTACATACTGATATACACCTGAACATCAGCAGGAGAGGACTCTTTAAGTAGAGACAACTACATACTGATATACACCTGAACATCAGCAGGAGAGGACTCTTTAAAGTAGAGACACTACATACTGATATACACCTGAACATCAGCAGGAGAGGACTCTTTAAAGTAGAGACACTACATACTGATATACACCTGAACATCAGCAGGAGAGGACTCTTTAAAGTGGAGACACTACATACTGATATACAACTGAACATCAGCAGGAGAGGACTCTTTAAAGTAGAGACACTACATACTGATATACAACTGAACATCAGCAGGAGAGGACTCTTTAAAGTAGAGACACTACATACTGATATACACCTGAACATCAGCAGGAGAGGACTCTTTAAAGTAGAGACACTACATACTGATATACACCTGAACATCAGCAGGAGAGGACTCTTTAAAGTAGAGACACTACATACTGATATACACCTGAAAATCAGCAGGAGAGGACTCTTTAAGTAGAGACACTACATACTGATATACACCTGAACATCAGCAGGGAGGACTCTTTAAAGTAGAGACACTACATACTGATATACACCTGAACATCAGCAGGAGAGGACTCTTTAAAGTAGAGACACTACATACTGATATACACCTGAACATCAGCAGGAGAGGACCTCTTTAAAGTAGAGACACTACATACTGATATACACCTGAACATCAGCAGGAGAGGACTCTTTAAAGTAGAGACACTACATACTGATATACACCTGAACATCAGCAGGAGGAGACTCTTTAAAGTAGAGACACTACATACTGATATACACCTGAACATCAGCAGGAGAGGACTCTTTAAAGTAGAGGGCACTACATACTGATATACACCTGAAACATCAGCAGGAGAGGACTCTTTAAAGTAGAGACACAACATACTGATATACACCTGAAACATCAGCAGGAGAGGACTCTTTAAAGTAGAGACACTACATACTGATATACACCTGAACATCAGCAGGAGAGGACTCGTTAAAGTAGGAGACACTACATACTGATATACACCTGAACATCAGCAGGAGAGGGACTCTTTAAAGTAGAGACACTACATACTGATATACACCTGAACATCAGCAGGAGAGGACTCTTCAAAGTAGAGACACTACATACTGATATACACCTGAACATCAGCAGGAGAGGACTCTTTAAAGTAGAGACACAACATACTGATATACACACTGAAATCAGCAGGAGAGGACTCTTTAAAGTAGAGACACTACATACTGATATACCACTGAACATCAGCAGGAGAGGACTCTTTAAAGTAGAGACACTACATGCTGATATACACCTGAACATCAGCAGGAGAGGACTCTTTAAAGTATGAGACACTACATACTGATATACACCTGAACCATCAGCAGGAGAGGACTCTTTAAAGTAGAGACACTACATACTGATATACACCTGAACATCAGCAGGAGAGGACTCTTTAAAGTTAGAGACACCACATACTGATATACACCTGAACATCAGCAGGAGAGGACTCTTTAAAGTAGAGACACCACATACTGATATACACCTGAACATCGCAGGAGGAGGACTCTTTAAAGTAGAGACACTACATACTGATATACAACCTGAACAATCAGCAGGAGAGGACTCTTTAAAGTAGAGACACTTACGGCCCCTACACACGGCGGCGTGCGTTGACGCTTCTGTCCTTCACTTTGAATGGGGTGACGTCACGATTCGCCGAACTGCATTGTGGGAGAAAAGCGTAGCTTTTCTCGCTGTGCTCGCTGCAAAAGTAGAGCAATGTTCTACTTTTGAAGCTTCGACGGAGGCGTCAGCCAATCAAATCCCGTTTATGCAAATCTGCCAGTACAAGCGCTAGCCAATCAAACCGCGTGTATGCTGGGAGAGGCAGACCGCAGTTCATTTCCTCATATGCCAAAAAATGGAGGAGAAAATAATCGTAGCGGTAGGGAATCACCCGGTGCTTTCAGTCCCTGTTCACCTGCCGGGATACAAACCCGGAGGAGCCAGGCATGGAGGGAGGTGGTAGAGACAGTGGGTGAAAACTGGTAGGTTTTCGCCTGTTTGGGGAGTTTATATCCAGTTGTACTTCCTTTGAATGGAACAGCAGGCATAGACAGTATTTAGCCAGCATGGACTGTTGCGTAAAATAGCACCATAGACATTAATGTCATAAATGTTCATCATATAAAGTGTGACATGTAAAACCTTTTATGCAATTGACAGGAGAGATTCATGTGATTGGTTGTTGGTCACATTGCTCGCGTAAACTCCCCAAGCTCAAGACACGCCCACAGCCAAGCGGCAACGCACGCCGCCGTATGTAGGGGCCGTGTAAGCTGAAAATAGGCTGGATATGTCCTCTTAAAAACATCTTAAACTCCGCCTTCAACCGGCTGCAAGACGTATGTGAACAAGTGAAGCTAACCTACTTAACGATAAGGTTGAACACTTAGCAGTTGACATCCTTTTCACCTCGTGTTATCAGAGCTTTATGCGCTGGGGATTTATTGGAAGTTGCAAATAAATAAAGAAGACGCAGCAGGCTTTTTTAAATATAGGTTAGGAAGGAGAAGCATTTTGTCTGACACACACACACACACACACACACACACACACACACACACACACACACAACACACACACACCACACAAACACACACACACACACACACACACACACCACACACACACACACACACACACACACACACACATTACTCCCTGTCCCACTAACAGCATTACAGAACAGTGATGTCTGATTACGGCGGACAAATTGAATCTCCTCGTGTCGCTCTCATGTTGATAACAAGAGAAGAAAACACAACAACAGCAACAGAGACAAACAACAACAGACACACAAACACACTGACCGATGAACCAGGAAACATCTGGAACAGTTTGCATGAATTATTTATTTGAGTTAACCCGATAAGTGTTTCCCTTTGTAAGATAACACCAGCCCTGCTATCCATATAACCAAACGTCCAATGAGTGTCTGCCATGTCGAAAACAAACCATGAATCCATGAATGCAGTTTTGATGTCATTCTTCTTAGTTTTTTTTAATATAACTGTCTTTTATTGCTTTCTTTACAGGGTATAATTACAGAAAGTGTTTATGCCTGATTTTTAGATATGTAACTTAACCATTTTACCCTGCCTTTGAGACATTTATCTTCCATATCTTTACGTCTGTATGTGAGTTTCTCCAGTATTAAAAGTCACCTAGAATCCACTTTTCTACATCAGCATGTGTCCCCTCTTCTTCATGTCTCTTCTACATCAGCATGTGTCCCCTCTTCTTCATGTCTCTTCTACATCAGCATGTGTCCCCTCTTCTTCATGTCTCTTCTACATCAACATGTGTCCCCTCTTCTCCATGTCTCTTCTACATCAACATGTGTCCCCTCTTCTTCATGTCTCTTCTACATCAACATGTGTCCCCTCTTCTTCATGTCTCTTCTACATCAACATGTGTCCCCTCTTCTTCATGTCTCTTCTACATCAACATGTGTCCCCTCTTCTTCATGTCTCTTCTACATCAACATGTGTCCCCTCTTCTTCATGTCTCTTCTACATCAACATGTGTCCCTTCTTCTTCATGTCTCTTCTACATCAACATGTGTCCCCTCTTCTTCATGTCTCTTCTACATCAACATGTGTCCCCTCTTCTACATGTCTCTTCTACATCAACATGTGTCCCCTCTTCTTCATGTCTCTTCTACATCAACATGTGTCCCCTCTTCTTCATGTCTCTTCTACATCAACATGTGTCCCCTCTTCTTCATGTCTCTTCTACATCAACATGTGTCCCCTCTTCTTCATGTCTCTTCTTCATCAACATGTGTCCCCTCTTCTCCATGTCTCTTCTTCATCAACATGTGTCCCCTCTTCTTCATGTCTCTTCTACATCAACATGTGTCCCCTCTTCTTCATGTCTCTTCTACATCAACATGTGTCCCCTCTTCTTCATGTCTCTTCTACATCAGCATGTGTCCCCCTCTTCTTCATGTCTCTTCTACATCAAGCATGTGTCCCCTCTTTCATGTCTCTTCTACATCAACATGTGTCCCTCTTCTCAGTCTCTTTCTACATCAACATGTGTCCCCTCTTCTTCATGTCTCTTCTACATCAACATGTGTCCCCTCTTCTTCATGTTCTCTTCTACATCAACATGTGTCCCCTCTTCTTCATGTCTCTTCTACATC